CTAATCTCCCCCAGATGTTTCGCAATGACACAGCCAGTGATAAAAGGGACATGTCCGGGGACAGTCATATGACCGATTCACCTCTATTGTCATTTTCCATCATCATCAGTTGGTTGCTTCCTAATCGAACAGTTGCTGAAGCGTTCTTTGAGACAATAAAAGTACAGCAGCAGTAGACAGTGTTAGGGTGTTTGTGTTGCATCACTGTCATTTCAAGTACTCTTGTTGATTGAACTCATCACAAGAACAAGAGCAGTTTTGGAATGATCACACATTTCCATTTCAATTTTGGGATTGAATGTTCTTTTTTAATCAAAAGTTATTTTTATTTTTACACAAAAAACTGTTTTGAAATCTGTTTACTATGGTGCCCCCAACAATTGCAGCCATTTCAAACACATAATTTAAGACTTGCTTTTTGTAGGAGTTAAATAATTGAGCATTGCAATGGTCCCTCGCTGTAACGTGGTTCACTTTTCTCAGTTTGTTTTTTCTTGCAATTTGACTGTTGTCTCTCGCTATAACGTGGTTCAGACCTTGCAGTTTCGCAGGTTTTTTTTATGCATTTTGACATGCCGAAAGGCAGAGGAATATGCTAACTATCACACAAAAAGTTGAACGTCTGAACATGCTTGAGATGCCCAAACTAGGGCCCGTGGTCACTTTTAAATTGTTTCGCCATCCCTTCTGAGAATGGTTTAGAGCAGGGCTATTCAATTGGCAGTTCGCGGGCCGAACCCGGCCCCCGAGGCAATTCGTTCCGACCATCCAAATAGTGTGACCAAGGCATAAAAATATATTTAGTTCAGTCGAAAAACGGCCGCTATAGCTATGAAGTGACATGCATCTGTTTAATTCAGTTGCTAAAGTGTGCAGTTGGACAGTGGTCCCTCGCTATAACATATTTCACACCTTGTAGTTTCGCTGATTTTTTTGGTGCAATATGACATGCTTTTTCTACAGTGCATTGTGTTTTGCATCCTGTCCGTGCTTTGTCTCCTGTACAGTACAGAATGCGTTCAGCCAGCCAAATTTACATAAATCTTCGATCGCTAGCAGTGTGACTCTGAAGTGCTGTATTGTATGTTTGCAAGTTTTTTCCCCACAATGTCGACAAAACATTTTGCACCGTCAAAGGCACCTGTGGCAGTACCCAAAAGGCAGAATGAGATGCTAACAATCGCACAAAAAAGTTGCACTTCTGGAGATGCTAAAGAAAGGTAGAAGTTACGCGGCTGTAGGGCGCCATTATGGAATAAATAAATGTAGATCAAATGGTTTTGATCTTTGGTTTTATTCTATAATACTGAACTTTTTTTTCTATAAAGGTTTGAACTTTGAGAGCGTTTAAACAAGAGAGAAAAGTGTGAAAATGTTAATGCCTGTCTGTGAAAAGTGTATAAACTGCGTAGTGAGGAGTTTTACATCCTTTAAATCATCATATAATAATTGCAAAAAATAAAGCTGACTATTTTGTAGATTTTGCCTATGGCGGGTTATTTTTTTTTCAGAATGTAACTCCCACGATTAATGAGGGGCCACTGTACACAATTTGAGGAGCGCAGGCCCTAATTATGAGAATATCTGTATTTTCAATAATGTCTGGCTGCAGTCTTTCATAGGCACACTCAGACTATCACTCTCTGGCACATGCCCTCAATAGAATGATGTCACTCTGAGGGGTGGGGTTATTGGATGGGGTTATGTGTAGATGTTCCAGAGAGAGCATGTCTTAAAATGCATGTGCCCTTTGTCTAGAATTTTTTAATTTAGGGGGGTCGTAAATGATTTTTGGATAGCTTAGATGAGACTAGGGATTTTAGTGATACAGTAGTACATTGGGAAATCATTCCAGTCGCGACGGGGAAGGACACTGTGGAGGCCACTTGGAGGCCACTTGCTACCCAAATGGGAAAACCCTATTACAATACGCACATATGGGCTATGGGCCAGATTTCACAGTCCAGGAAATCTGGTGAACCAGGTGGGCATACCAGACAGCATTATGAGCCAAGCATCTGACTCCAGTGACAAGTCGTGTGTTGGAGGGACTCTCTAGGTTTGACCAGAGAGGATCTTACAGGCAGAGTGAAATAAGTGCTGCATCTCCAGGTTAGGGAGAACTATAGGAAGACTATAGAATCTCCCAAATGTGATGTGTTGCCCAGCCTGCAGCTCTACAGATGTTTGTTAGAGAGGTGCCATGTGCTAACGGTCAAGGGAAAGCAACACTTTTGTTGAGTACGATCTCACTCCTTGAGGACTGCTCATTTTGAGTCTGATACATATTGCGATGGCATCCATAATACAGTGGGCCAACCTCTGTTTGGATACAGCATTTCCATTCTGCCAACCACTAAAACAGATAAAGAGCTGTTCAGATGTTCTTGTGTTCGGTCCACTTAAATGTGCAATGCTCAAACAGGACACAGCAATGAAATCCTTTTGATTAATGCTAGTCTAACTAGAAGAGCTGCCTTGAGTGATTGGATTTTCAAAGATAGCCATTTGAATGGTTCAAATGGAACTGTCTGCAGTCCCGTCAGGACCACAGAGAGATCCCAAGAGTGCATACGTGGTGGGTGAGGCAGATTTGGTCTCCTAGCACCTCTGAGGAACTGGACGACCAAGTCATGATTCCTATGCACCCTACCATCCACCACATCATGATAAGTGGAGATGGCAGCTGTGTAGCTATGCCTCCACTCAAAACTATCGTAAAGGAAGGATATCACAACACTGATTGGACAAGTTTTAGGATCTTCTCAATGAGAAGCACACCAATCAACCAATGAATTCCAATTCAATGTGTAGGCGCACCTTGTAGAGAGGGTTCTTGCTTGAGTGGTGGTGTTAACCACCACTGGCGTAAGGGGCCCAAACGCAGTTCAGACTGCATGATTTTCAAAGTAGTCGTGTCACAGATGTTTTCACACTGCATGACTATCTGGGCTAGCATTCTGTCGGTGCTGTTTACACTGTAAGATGGATCAGCGACAGGTTTCACATTGCATTACCTTAAAATAGGAAGAATCGCTAACAGCTTTGTCCAAACTATGTCTTACAACCAAACAAACGCAAGAAGTGACAGAAAAAAACGAGGTCACGGAATATATCTTTTGTTATTAACTACTGGAAAAAGAAGGTTTTAGCTTTAAAAAATGTACTTATTTTGCTCACCTGGCTTTTGAACAGATTTAGCATTTTCTCCTTACCTTTTTTTACTTTTCGACCCGGTTGTGATGTTGCTCAGATGATTCATCAAACACACACAGTGCTCCTGCCAAATTTCCATTTTTTGACTTCTCCCCCATCCTCCCGCTTGCTGCAGGTACCCATACTAGTGGATGCTGCTCTCTTATTGGCTGTAAGTGTTCACCAATGGTTTTTTCAATCAGAAAACATTTCACATGACAGGATTTGAATTGCTGACAGGTCTAGATATTTAGCATGCCAAATATCTCACAGGCGTCGGCGACTCATCTGTGATTCTCTTATATCGCATCCTTGATAGTTCATACTGTGTGATTGTCACTCACATGAACGAGCACCGATTTGCCTGTGATTTCAGGCTTTTGTTGGCGATTTCTCAAAACCTGTCGGTGAGTCAAAATCAAGGCTAAAATCATGCAGTCTGAACTCGGCATAAGTATTCCACTTCCAACCTACGGACCAGAGATGGAGGTTCCAGAGATCTGGACACGTGTGCCAGATGGTGCCCTGTCCCTGAGAAAGCATGTCCTTTGTTAGGAGAATTTGAGAGAGATGGGTTGTCGTGAGGAGTGTCAGTCTGGCCCACTGAGTGGGCCAGAGGGGTGCAACTAGCAAGACCTGCTCTTCGTCCTCCCTGACCATGCACAGAATCTGTGTGAGAGGGCTCAATAGGGGAAATGCATATTTTTTGATGCATATTTTTGGATGCACTTCAATTTAGGTCTGCGCAATACTAGCAAAAATATGAGACATGCAGTGTTGTTGAGTATTGTGATGTCTCTTGTCTCGTCTCTACACTATTAGTATTTTAAGTACTTCTTGGGATAAAAAAAGGAATCATTAATAGCAGATTCAATAAAACAGTCATTTCGATATTCACAATTATGATCTCTTTTTTTTTTCAATATGTCACAATTATGAACTCTTTTTTTTTTTTTCAATTTGTCCCACCTAAACTTCCTGTTTCAAAAGGTATTACATCAATACAGGAAAGGAAACTAATTTCATGGGGAGTTTTAACAGAATCCGGATTTACTGGGGCCTCTGAGAGGGTGCCGAGCTTGTTGACACCAACACTGCCCTTTGAAATAGAATCACACATGTGCAAAAGGAAAATGATGAGATAGCATTGTGTTCATTACTTTCACAAAACATCTGTTTGTTGCTTTAGGGGGAAGATACTGTTCCGATGGACTAATGCTGATCAGGTCTCTGTCGGTTGTCCATGAAAACGCTTTCTTCCTTACTGGAAACAGGGGTGTCTTTGAGTAGAAATATGCATTTGATTTCACAAGGGTTGACCTTTGACCTCCACTACATTAGGTACCTGTGGGCCCTAAATAACTAAAGCAGGCCTTAGTGTGACTGCTTGTTTCCAATAAATAACAGATGTTCCAGACAGGAAATAAGGACAGCATTTTTCTAAAAAAGAGTCCCACATGCTCAAGCGAATCCATCCAGCGCGTTCTCATTAAAGTGTCACTCAGCGTCCATTTCAGCCTTCGCACTGCTCTTCTCATTTGCAAAACGGGCTTGTTGCTTGTGTTTTATAGGCCCTACGCATCAGCCGCACATCTATCTCTATGATCTTGTCACTCTAAACCAGGTGCGTTATCAAACGCGGTGCTGTAGGAGCTCCGAAGAAGCTCATTTGATCAGTGTGATGTAAATGCTACAGGCCCGTTCTTCACAAGCACCAACATTGGCATCTGTCTGAACAGAAGAGAGACATGAACTTAGTGAGGCCCAGAGGCTTCATCTTGTGCTGTGTTTGTGTGTCTGTGCAGTGATGGGGGAGAATCAGAGGAGAAAGCTGGAGGCTGTCAGCTACTCTTCCCGCTACGCACTTGGACTCTTCTACAAAGCCGACACACGGATCGACGTCCCTTGGGCGGCCAAGTACGTCTCAAATAATCCCTGCATTCGCTTCATCGCCATAGATGATAAAAAGCGCAATTTAGGTCAGTGCCTCCATATTTTCTTCCTCTCATCTCCAACTCTGGCTTTGACATGTTTCGTTCTTTTTCCCTGCACTTTCTGCTTCTTCCTCTCACTGTTTCATGTGGCAGAATCTGCACACAAATATGGTTTATTTTTTAAATTAGATGTTTTTCAAATCCACTTGATTTTTACACAGTTTTAATTGGGGTTAGACAATGACAAAGATGATACTCTCTATGGTAATTTTTATTATAGTTAAAGGGCTCTTTTGATGAAAATCATCTTTTGTAAGCAGTTTGAACAGAACTGTGTGTAGATATAGTGTGTCCACAGTCATATAAAAGTCAAAGTCAAAGTAAGCTTATTGTCAATTCAACTACATGTCCAGGACATACGGAGAATCGGAATTACAGTACTTTTAGACCCCAGAGGCCTTAACATATAATATTAATACTCAAAGTAGAGTTTTAGAAAGAATTTATAAAAAATAAAATAATACATAAAATGTAATCTAAAAATATACATAAAGTATAAAAATGTGTAAACAATACATTTTCATTAAGGGCATATGGCTATGAGTGCAAACCAGAGTTGTGCAGATATAGAACAGTATATAGTGCAAAAAGGCTTGTAAACATGATAATTATGATAAAGTGACAGTGTCATAATATATAGGGAGGTAGAATGATGTGACTAACTGGCAGTCCAGTGTTACATAAAGTGACCAGTACAGATGTATGTGTGTGTGTGTTTTTAAATTTCCTATTGTTAAAATAGTATCCAAATCCCTCCCATTTTGAGGCCGACTGCAACGTGACTTTGGAGTGCAGTTTCCCCATCCACCGAATTAATTGACAGCCGCATATTAACATGTCTCCATAGTAACTCGTATAATCATTTCAACAAGGCAGGACATGCGTGAAGCAACCATGTTTAAAAGATCTGTTTAGCTCAATGTGATTATCAATCATCAACAAATGTGATCAAGAATTAGTTTAAAGTTTAAAGCCTTTTTAAAACAGTGTATGTTTGTAGGGCAAAGCAGTGTCGCAGTAGGTTGTGCTATCACAGCAAGAAGGTCGCTGGGTCGCTGGTTCGAGCCTCGGCTTAGTTGGCATTTCTGTGTGGAGTTTGCAGGTTCTCCCTGCATTCGCGTGAGTTTCCTCCGGGTGCTCCGGTGTCCCCCACAGTCCAAAGACATGTGGTACAGGTGAATTGGGTAGGCTAAATTGTCCGTAGTGTGTGAGTATGAGTGTGTGTTAATGTGTGTGTGGATGTTTCCCAGAGATGGGTTGCGGCTGGAAGGGCATCCGCTGCGTAAATACTTGCTGGATAAGTTGGTGGCTCATTCCGCTGTGGCGACCCTGGATTAATAAAGGGAATAAGCTGACAAGAAAATGAATGAATGAATGTTTGTAATGAATTACAGCAATTTTATCATCTTTATCACCACAGCTGCATGTCAGTACAGTTATAAAAGAAGACGCTTTAATACCAGTTTGTGGACGTTAAATTAGGTTTATTTTGTACATTAACATAATGGATATCCGAACTGCAGTAGATATTAACCTGTATCCTGTCACATTTGCATGCAAAAACAATGCAAAGATGTGTGCTGTGCAACATTGTGTGTGACTTATCGAAAAGCTTGTATTAACTCCACAACAAATACATCAAGTAATCGTTGGGAAAGTTCTTACTTTAATATTTCTCACAAACGTAAGGTGAGATCTGCTTCCTTCATGTCTGTCACTGTGCTATTTTTTTTGAAGCAGCCGAGGTGGAGATTGAGGCACATTCAGACAGGCACATGGGGACGGTGGGCGGGGAGAACTAGCATTAAACGCATAGGCCATAAAAACAGCTGCAGGGTTGTTAGGAGCAGAACATTTCAAAATTATTAAAGGTATAATAAATAATCTGTTGGGTGTTTTGAGCTGAAACTTTACAGACACATTCTGGAGACACAAAAGACTTATCTTAAATCTTGAAAAAGGGGTAAAATAAGTGCCCTTTAATAATAGGTGGGAGGGAAAAGTACATTTCTGTACATGTTTTTTTTCTTAGTTGAGCATTTGTTTTTAGAGAGACTGGCAGAGAGAGAATGATTTTTTCTCCAATCTCAATTTTTTAGGGCTTCATATGTATGAAAAAACAGTTGAAGGCAAAATTCTTCTATTATATTTTATTTCTTTTTCAAATATTTCCTTAGTGATGTTTAACAGACCAAGAGAATATTGCACAGTATTTCCAATTATATATTTCCTCTGGACAAATTTGTATTTCTTTTATTTTGGCTAAAACAGAGATGCCCAAATTTGGCCTATTGTAACCTTTGATTTGGCCCACTGTCCCATCTGAGAGAAGAATGAGAATAATGGAGAAGGTTGGGGCGAATGCCTTTAACACAGAGATCATTTCTAATTTAACTAGGGCTGCAACTAACTATTATTTTAATAATCAATTAATCTGTCAATTATTTATTCTATTGATCAATGAATCCCTGACCTGTTATAATAATAATAATAATAATAATAATAATAATAATAATAATAATAAAATACAAAGAACTAACTGAGAAGTTTTGTCCTGTTTTCAATCCAAATATCTAAAAAATCTTAAAGCATGATACATACTAGACACATAAAGTAGAATTAGAAATTGTGTCTTGTTTTCTGAAAAAAAAAACACCTCAAAATAAGTGATTATTTGCTTAAAACAAGCTAAATTAACAAAAAGTTATAAAATAGAAAAATTATTATTACAATCTTAATGAGCCATAATTTTTTCATGCCATTTTACTTGTCTGTTCTTGATTTAAGATTTTTTTAGATATTTGAGACAAAATGACTAAGAAAGAAAAGCTTTTTTTTAGTGTAACTTTACATGACTACAGATGAAAAAATGAAAGATCCAGGCAAGTGAATAAAAACGTGTCTTTACTCTTGCAAAGTGCAAAGTAACTATACCAGTTACTATTTATTAACCCTTTCTCTGGTGAGTTTAAAAGATTCTGGAAACAGGTGTCAGTTTTTTAGGCGACCATTATTTTAGGACATTTACCCTTAATGTAACGTGGCAACGCGTCATGTTTGTCACATGACACACCACAGCCACAATATCGCTGTACGACTGATGTATCCTTTTTATTGTGGTTTTTTTCCGTTTCATTACAACATATTTACATGCTTGCTCATCATGTCATTAGCTACCTGATATTCCAATTCACAAAAACATGTAAGTGATCGTTATGCATAACGTGCGATGGGAGTCGCCATGTTTACTTGCGGCCACGCGTTTGCCTCATTTATAAAAGTAGAAGAAGCAGGATTCAGCACGTAAATTCATAAGTTACTCCCAAAATACATGCAAACAAGTGGCTGGTAAACTTAGAGAAGGGTAGATTCAACTTTATAGTTACTTTCACTATGTATCTGATATAAATAAAGCACATCTGCAAATGGATTGTTAGACGTCAGTGTGCGTTTTACTAACTCCAAATGTATTGTTTTACCAGTACTAGTATGTATTTACATGTCTAAAACATAAATGTTGCATAATTGTGATTAATATGACAGGTCTTTCTCTGGCTCAGTGCCAGTCAACGCGTCAAAGCTCAGTTTGAATTTTTCAGTTGCTGCTCCAAAGAGCTAACACTAGCTTGCCATGCTTGTCAAGCTGGATAACAAGTAAAACATCAGCACCAGGGACTTTTCGGTCCCCACTTAAAAACGGAACAAAAGTAGGATTCTGTAGTGATTCACCCTGCTGTTGAACTCCCTTTCTCCCTGTCTATGAGGCACCGAACTCCGTATCAGTGCGCAAGAGAGACCATGTTCTATCCGCTTCGCGCTGAACTTAAGTGGTTTTTTTAATAATCAAACGTCCCGGTGTTGCGCGATACAACAAATCGATTATAAAATTCGTTGCCAGCACTTTTAGTTATCGATTTTTATCGATTTGATTCGTTGTTGCAGCCCTAAATTTAAAGTAACCTTTTTTTGTTTGTTTTATTGGTTTTTATTAATTTTATTCATTCTATCCATTCTTTTATTTATTCTATTCAGCAAACTGAAATTAAATGTTGTAAAGGAATCCTATTTTATTATAAAATGTAAATACTGTCACTTGACGGATAGAGAACCTTACAGAATACATCGGTGAGCAAATTAAGGCAAAAACTAGTGTAATTCTGTTATAAATTACATTATTTTGTTTTTACCTCTAATAAGTTAATTATAAAATGTCAAAAATACTGTATAAGTTAATATAAGGCAATGTTTTCTAGTCATTGTTAAACATTATTAAATAAATAGGGAAATTACCCATTGCAAATATTTACCTTCAGCCCACTAGCCTCAAGTTTGGTTTTTGGCCGTTTAAAAAGTTTAGGCACCTCATGGCTAAAATAAAACCTTTACTTTTTTTTCTTTGGGTGGCATGACGAGCCAGGGGGTAGCAGTGTCACCTCACAGCAAGAAGGTTGCTGATTCGAGCCCCAGCTTGGTCAGTTGGTATTTCTGTGTGGAGTTTGCATGTTCTCCTAGTATTCTAACCGTAGATTTCCTCTGGGTGCTCCGGTTTCCCCCACAAGTCCAAAGACATGCGTAATAGGTAATACGTAAATTTGGTAAGTTGAATTGTCTGTAGTATATGTGTGTATGTCCTGGTGCTCCAGATTAGGGGTTTAGCTTTGGGCAAATGACCCACCTTGTAAAAATTAGATGTTACGAAACACCAAATGGTGCGGCTACATATCTACACTACTTCAAAATAAAATGGCCCTTGGAGTAAGCATTATTTGCCCCCTTAAGAATATTTTTTTTCTATTGGCTACAAAACAAACCACTGTTGTTCAATGACTTGCCAAGTTGACCTAATTAAGCATTTAATTTGCACTTTATTCTGTATACTAGTATCTAGTGAAATATTTTGTACTCTCATCTTGGCAAAGACAAAACAAGTTTTGCTATCATCATGAATATATTATGTTTTCTCATTATTACTAATCAGTATTAAA